ATATTTATATTATTTATATTATATATAAATATATAATAAAGGGGAAATATAGTAAAGGGGAATTAAGGCAGCAAATGGAATTCAGGCTGCTAATCAGCTGACCTTAAAATGATTAGTCTGGGATATCTGGGTGGGCTCAACGAAATCACAAGATTCCTATGCTGGCAGAGCTGAGTATGATGGTGTGCAGACTAGACCTGCTGTTACTGGATCTGAAAATGGAGAAAGAAGCCATGAGTCAAGAATGCCAGTGTCTAGAATTTGGAAAATGCACTGGATTCTCTTCCCCTAGCTGCCAGAAACACAGCCCTGCTGACACCTTAATTTTAACCTAGTGTCACCTGAGTCATCTACAGAACTGTAAGATAACTTGTGCAGCGTTTTTAACAAAACAAATGATAAAGACCTAAGTAATATCGTCAGAGGCCTTTGAAGAAACATTTAAATGGAGACCTAAATCCAGGTGAACATCACAAGCCTGTGAATTCTTTCCACCACTTTCCTCTTCTGAAATTATGCTGTTTGGGGCCAGCCGAGATGGATAACCCACAACCCTTAGTACTGTACTCTCAAGTATCTTTTCTTAATCCACTCCATCTAGGTAGGTACTTTGTGTGCTTATGGGAATTAAAGCTTTGTCACTGTTAACGATAAGACATGGTACGGGAGGATCAGGCCTGAAAATCTTATCCTTTAGGCTAGTTCAGTTGGACCTGGGACCTAAACTTGTCCTGAAACTCTGAAGGTGGGCAATGGAGGATTTTGTGCTGGACAGAAACTGAGATAGCTATAATAGGTTATCTTGCTGAATAAGGTAAAAATGCTGAAAACAATGAAACCCCAAAGTTCCCTCTTAAACTACGCTAAGAAGCTCCGTATGTAGTTCTTTAAATTTTTCAACCAATTAGTCAAGTATCCCGTGGTAACTTAGAAGAGCAGTCTTCAAGTTGGAGTTCACATTTTCATGGGCCCACAAACCAGGTAAACTTCACAAAGGCTATGAGGGGAAAAAACTGCTGTGCCAATTTCTGTTGTTGCCTAAAATTAATCTGAAAAGACTAATTTCTTATAATATTCCTCAAGCATTCTGGTTTTGCTGATGTTTGTCCCAGAGCACCAAAGACACAACTCAATTTATTCAAGGCACATATACTAGTGAGGAATTTCTTATATTCCTTAAAACTTCTGCTGGGGTGAAGAGAAGTTTCAATACCCATTATTGTTTTGGTCAGTTTTGATATTTTAAGAATGCCAAATTGTTTGATAACCAAAAATTGGGGATTTGAGAATATGGAGTAAACAGAAGCTGTGAGATAGACTTACTTTACCCAGGCAACAAAAGCATCTACCTGTCACTGTACACCTTCCTCCAGTATGCCTTTTAAGAGTTTACTAACCTGGTGGTCTGAAAGCCAGCTACTCATCTGGATATTTAAAAGTGGAGTTCAACCTTACTTCCAACATATCACCATTAAACTGCCAGACAAATGGAATACGGGGCAAGTTTCCTAATTTCTTGAACCTTCAGTTTTCGTTTTTGTTGTATTACTGGATCCTGTGAATGCCTACTTCCTGCTTATCAACTCTTTCTACCAGATATTTGGTAATATACTTATACCTTAGAATCCCATTGATACTAGCAAATCAATGCCTTCCTTTTTTTCTGTTAACCACCACTGAGCATGCCTCATCCAGCAATCATTCACCATGGGCATTTCCACTGTTTATGCAAAACCTATCAAACACATTTCATGGACTGGCTTGCTGTTTTAGATGAATGGGCATAAATGAACCAAACAGCTCAAACCCCTGCCTTCTTGAAGGTAGGGACAGCATTTAAAAATACAAAAATGCCAATTCAAGGTTTAGGGATGAGCCTCACTCACATCCTGCAATTTCTAAGATTCCAGGTGATTCTACTAGTCTTCTGTTAGGAAAATGACCCAGGAGAGAATAGAGTATGCAGCTAAGTAGAGCTCCTTTGACTTGACATTGGTACAAAGACTGAAAAGGAAACATGATTAAATCATGCGGTTATGTGGACAGAAACTTTTCCAAACAAATGTCAAGTCCATGAAAAGCCTGCAGAATAATAGTGCAGTGGGAACAATGGTAGGTACAACACTTCAATAAAAGGTCATTGTATTAAGATGATTATTGAATACTCAAGGAAAGATGTCATTTTAAAAGAAGTCTATTGTTGTGACTAACCGCAATTAAGAGCAGAGATAAGAAATGTTTAGAACATGGCACAAACTACATCCTATTTAAACAGAAATTTAGGTATCAGTGAAAATAAAAAAAAAACACATGGAAGTATACAAGTTTCACAATTCTGAGACAGAGGACTAGAAAATCTCTTGGCCAGAAGGACTCTGAAGACTATAGTCTAAGAGCCAACCCCCAAGGAAACCCCCGATTACACACTCAATGTATTAGGTGCCAAACGTTTACCAGTTGTCTATGGAATATTGCTTAAAGTTGGGAGCAAAGAAAACCCCAGCAAATATAAGATTGGCTCTAGCTAAAAGGTGTCATGCCAAAGCCCAAGTCAGCTCTAAACCTAAGAAATAGCCCTAGCTGGTTTGGCTCAGTGGATAGTGCCTACAGACTGAAGGGGCCAGGGTTCGATTCTGGTCAAGGGCACATGACGGGGTTGTGGGCTCAATCCCCAGTAGGAGGCAGCCAATCAATGATTCTCTCATTATTGATGTTTCTCTCTATCCCTTCTCCCTTCCTCTCCGAAATAAAAATACATAAAAAAACACTAATAAAGTATATGAAATGTCTGTTCTCTAGTCCTACTTAGTCTCTTACCTCCACATGAATTCTAATGTTGATGTTCTGCTTTTTCCTATGGCTCATTTTGTAAAATGTATGGCAGCAGTTACATTCTTAAATACAAATATCTACGGACCTCTCAAAACGCTTGCCGTAGCATCCAGCCTTACTCACACCCCAAAGATTCTAATGCATCTGCAAGTTCCAGGGCTTTATATCTTGAATTGTAACACCTAATTGTAGTGAAGTGAAGTACCTTCCCTTGCAAGTGTACAATCATTCTAGAATCACAGCAGGAGTCTTCACTGGACCTTGGCCTTTGCATTCTTTGTGTTGGAAGATGTATCTGAACTTGATGTACTTACTGTCTAAAGCCAGTAAGTGGTTCAAAGGGCATACATACTTGCCTTGTATGTAGACAACTGTCATCTCCTCTCACAAGTCCCAGCTCCCCCAATCTGTTCAACAGTTTTCCTAGAGCAGTGATGGCGATTCCCAAACACACAAACTCATTTTTTGGTTGATTTTTCTTTGTTAAATGGCATTTAAATATCTTATACAATAAAAGCTTAATATGCTAAGTGTCCGGTTGGCTGTTCAACCAACCAAAGCATAATGTGCTAATGATATGCTAAGGCCAATCAACTGCTTGCTATCATGTGCACTGACCACTGGAGGCAGACTTTCCAACTGGTGGTTAGCTTGCTGCTGGGGTCCAGACTTAGCGAGACAGGCCGGACATGCCCTGAAGCCCTCCTATAGCCCCTCCCTGACTAGCCAACCTCCCAGGTCTCTCCCACCCTGGTCATGCACCAGTGGAGATGCTCAGCCTGGCCTGCGACCTCTCACAATCCAGGACCCCTCGGGGATATCGGAGAGCTGGTTTCTGGCTAATCCCACAGGCCTGGCCAAGGGACCCCACTGGTGCACAAATTTGTGCACCGGGCCTCTAGTATAAAATAAGTATCAAAAATATAAGTCTTTGTTTTACTATGGTTGTAAATAGCAAAAAATTTCTATGTATGACATGGCACCAGAGTTAAATTAGGGTTTTTCAAAATGCTGACACGGCCAAGCTCAAAAGGTTCGCCATCACTGTTCTAGAGGATTACATCTCTATTAAATATACACTTAATCTTAGCCAATAGGCCAAGAGGCAATTTAAATACAGGAAAGTGATTCCTTTAAAGATTAACAGCCTTTCAAACCTTTAGCCTATGTAAATTGAAGTCAAATTGGTTTGTTAGCAACTTCACAGTACATATACTTTATAAACATGTAAACAGGTCAATGCTCATTTTCTCTATGAACTGTACATTCTCCCTAATTTCAGGCCAGATATAATCTTGCAGTCTGAATGGAGATAGTGCACTGAACATTTGATTTGGTACCACTTGCTATCAAGGTAAGGTTTGTTTTTTTTTAAATATATTTTATTGATTTTTTACAGAGAGGAAGGGAGAGAGATAGAGAGTTAGAAACATCGATGAGAGAGAAACATCCATCAGCTGCTTCCTGCACATCTCCCACTGGGGACGTGCCCGCAACCCAGGTACATGCCCTTGACCGGAATCAAACCTGGGACCCCCTTCAGTCCACAGGCCGACGCTCTATCCACTGAGCCAAACCGGTTTCGGCCAAGGTAAGGTTTTTTATTCACCTCTACGCCATGCTCAACACTTCTCATTAATGACCAAACCTGTATTTGCAATGTCATTTACTTTAGACTCAAAACTACACAGGACTGCAATTTTGATAGTTGCTTTACCATCAAAAGTACAACCTAGTATCTTATTTTTAAAATATTGACTATTTTTTTGAACACCCATACATTTTTTGAATTCTGAGTTGCTCAGAACATATTCAATTTTAAATATAGTACAGCTCCACTAAGAAACATTCAAACCTTAGTAATCAACAAACGTTTGGGTATTTAATAAAAGCCAGTTAAAGAGGTTTCATACTTTGGTTTCCTCTCTTAGCTTAAACGTCAATTTATCAATAAGTAAAAATAACTAAACTTATAATTTGTACTTGGAGCTCTTCAACATTATTAGGAACCAAATCAATCTCCAAATTAAGCAAATTCAGGTGTGATTTAAACATCAGATTATAAAAACTATGTAAAAATTAACCTTTCTAAACAGACTGACATGAATTTAAATTCAGACCCATTTACCAGTTTTATATTCTTCTTGCAAAGAAATTTTGCTGATTTCACTTCCTCAATGGTGAAATTAGGATACAAATACAGATGCCATAGACACTAAATTATTAATACAGGTAAATCACTTTGGTAATTGTTGCTGCTTCCCGTATTACCTCAATAGGGTTGTTTCATTTACTGTAACAAAAAAGAAAAACTGTCACAACTAAGAAAAACTTTAAAATTTTTATTTCATTATGTTCATTCTGGACAATTTCTCAACAAGCAGTTTTAAAATACATAACTTTATTTATTTACATTAAATGCACTAAACAATTCAAAGAGCATGACTAAATTGCAAATACATAAAATAGGCATCTCAATGCTGTGTCTCTGTGGTTCAAATAGGAAAAACTAAGCCTTTTAGAACAAATTTTCTATGGTCTTAAAATTGACAGGATACACCCATCTTATCCGACGCTCTACAAAGAATATTACATTTTACTAACGTTATTACTAAGAGTATTAATTTATCAAAACAGCCAAGTACATTAATTCACATTTCGAGAGTGAAGACCAAGTAGGTATTTTATGTGTATTTCCAGACATACGCTGAAAATTAGCCTGGATAGAGCTATCCTTACCTTTACTGCTCAGCCCAGACTCCTAACTTATCTTAATGCTAGACAAACCACACTAGGATTGTCAGTTACTAACAAGTTATTTCATTAAGTACATAAGCTTTAACATGACAATGAATTGTTCTCCAGGCAGCTGCAGGTTGCATTTTGTTAGGAAATCATTCTGTAGGACTCTTC